CTGTCTTGAGAAGTCTTACCCTTGGGTTCTCCTTTCCCTAGCACTTATTCTTTTTTTCTTCTTTCATTTATTAGTAGTATTCAGAGTTTTTATGTGTGGTTGATTGTTTTGTTGGTGTTTATTTTAAGACAAAGTCTCACTATGTCCTAGCCTTGAACTCAATAAGTAGTCCAGGCTGGCTTAGAACTCACAGGATCTGTCTGTTTCTGCCTCTTAAGTACTAGGATTAAAGAAATGTACCACCAGGCCCAACAAGTTGTGTGGTATGTGTGTGTGTGTGTATGTGTGTGTGTGTGTGTGTGTGTGTGTTATTCTAGACAATGTGCCATGTTGTAAACAAGCTGGCCTCAAACTCACTCTGAAGCTGAAGCTGGCCCTGAATTCTTGATCTTCCTGCCTCCGTGTCACAGGGATACAGGCCTCACACACTGGGATTCTAAGCATGTATCCCTATGAAGAGCAAAATATCACTAAATTCATTCATTCGTTTGTTTGTTTGTTTGTTTGTTAACAAGGTCTCAAGTATCTGAGACTAGCCAAAGATTCACTATGCAGTGAGGATGACATTGAAGAGTCAGAGACTCCTGCTTCTACCTTTCTGATGCTAGGACTATAGGTGTGTGCCACCATGCCTGGGTGCATGCTGATGATCAGACCCGGGGTTTTGTGCATGCTAGGCAAGTGCTCTACCAACTGACCTCCAACAACAGTTCCTATTTCAATATTTTTAAGACAGGGCTTCAGTCTGTAGCCCAAGATAGCCCCAAACTCTTGATCTTTCTGCCTTAGCCTCCTGCATGCTTGGATTATCAAGTACAGGAAATGCAAGGATGCAGCATCTAATGTGACTTCCACCAGTTTGAGTTGTTTCATCCTTATTTAAACAGATGTTATGGAAAGCACAGGGTATTCTGAAGAGCTGTTTCAATGCAGATGCATTGACATATCTGTGGTAAAACATCCCTGATAGCATATAGAAAACACTGGTTTTATAGGGCTGCTGACACTGGTCTGTAGTCCCACTGGTAGAGAGGACAAGGATCACAAAGTCAAACAAAACTGTTTGTGCTGCAGATAGAGTTGGAAGCTAGCCTAGACAACTTATTGAGACCATATCTCAAAATAAAAAAAAAAATTGAAAATGGCTGTGTGTGTAGCTCAGTGTTAGAGTGCTTGTCTAGCATGCAAAAGGTTCAATCCCTAGTCCTTCAAGAAAACAAACAAATAATTGCTTTGTATTACAGATTATTACAGCTTATTTCATTCTTGCTCTCTACCTTAATCCCAGGGAAGCTTTATCATTTCTTGATACAGTTTGATCAAACAGTTTGCACTGTTTGATTTTTTAAAATATGTATGTAACATATATTTCAGTCCTTTATTTAGTTAGGTTGTCTTGTTTGGTTTGGTTTGGCTTTTGTTTTAGACAACTTCTCAGTATATTACCCAGACTGGCACTAAACTCAATCCTCCTGCATAAACCTACCAAGTGTTTTATGATTATAGGCATGTGCCACCGTGCCCAACTATCAATTTTATAGTCATGAAAAACTACTGATGACATTCTAGAAATAAAACAGTAGATTGGTGTCTAAGAGACAGTATCCATTCAGTATTCCCAAGCCATCACAATCAAGACACTATCCATATGTAGAATGTCTACAATAAGAAGGACTTTGAGAAATTTCATTAAAGACTTTCTAAAAAAAAAAAAAAGTGCAGCTTAGAGTAATGCTTAGATTGTGGCCCAACTACTAAATTGACGGGGAATAGGGTCTAAGCGATGCTCAACCAAACAAGATTAACACAATAAGCAATTTTATAGAAAGAAAAAAATTGGTTGTGGCCAGTGACATGATGCAGCAGATTAAGGCAATTGCCACAGAGCCTGACAATATGAGTTCAAGCTCAGGGTCTCACAGGGAAGAAGGACAGAAGTGAGTCCCCAAAGTACTACTCTGATGTCCACACATATGCCATGGCACATGTACACATGCATCTATGTGCATGGACACATGTGCTAAGCAACTAACTAATAAGTAAATGTATAAGTAAATGTGATTATTTGAAAGAAGAGAGATGTCTTCCTTTTAGGGGTTCATATAGAAAGCAGACTATGTTTCAGTTCTTAGGAAACTACATGTCTATCAGGGGTTAACAGTCTAAGCAGGGATAAGGTAGAAAGATGCGGGAGAGGAGGGAGGAGGTGGGGTAACCCAAACTAAGGATGTATGAAAAAGCCTTATGGAGAACTACTACTTTGTAAGTGATATTTGATACTCTTGCAGAAGACCTGGGTTTGATTCCAGCATCTATGAGGCAGTTCACAACTGCCTGTAATTCCAGTTCCAGGGGATCTGACACCCTCTTCTGGCTTCAAAGACATTATATGCATAAAGTTCCAGGCTTAATCCCAGCATACATGTGCACACGAACACACAAATAATGAATTTTAAAAAAGAGTGAACAGAGGGGTATACTGTATGGGTGGACAATGACGCTCTTAGGAGACATGAGTTACAAACCCCAGTTCCAGGCATGGCATACCTCTCTCTCAGTTATTGGTCTTGGAGGCTCCAGAGGCTATTATGAATGTTCTTGGTTGCCCATCATAACTAGATATTAAGATTTTATTGCTACATTATTTTTTCAGGACACAGAAAATTCTATCTGGACCTGACCCGAAATCTCCCACTGGCTAGCTTTCATAGTGCTTAGGTACTACACAGGCCACTGGGGAAGAAAAGACACTAATGACCTTTACCCAGTGCTAGAGCCTAGAGTACTGATCTGCCAGGCAAGATGTATCCACTTCAGTAATGGCATAACTGTTATGGGGTAATTAACTGCTTTCTGATTTTTGATAAAGGGCTAGGGATAAGGCTCAGTGAGTTGAGCACTTTTCACACAAATATGAGGATCTGAGTTCAGATCACCAGAACCTGTGTAAAGCTGGAGAAAGTAGCACACATCTATACGCCAAGCAGTCTTACAATGAGATGGGAGGCCAAGAAAAGAGAATTCACTTTCTGGTCAGCCAGTCTGGCATATGCATAGAACAGAAAAAAAAATCTTTCCAACAAGGTTGAAGGTGACAAACAACAACTGAGAGGTTGTCCTCTGACCTCCACACATGGAGCATGGCACAAATGCTAAGGCACATGCACTTATATTTGTATAGAAGAACACATACACACAAAGATTTTTTTAAAAAGGAATTTGAGTGTTCTGTTCTGTGAATATCCTACCAGCTTCCCGCCTCGAGTCTTTATCAGATTCTCATCTTAGAGCCTCATGCACCCCTCACATACACCCCCAAACTCCTCCAGCTTCTTCTGGCTCTCTTCCTCTCTGCTTAGACCTTCTTAGTCTCTTTTCACAATCTGCTGACGTCATCTCCATCTGCTGACCTTGCAGACATCTTGAGGATCCTGAGTTTAGCACAGCATCCTTCTCCCTCTGATTGGTGAATGATATTACATGTGTATGTGCTTGGACCATATCATCTACCTATGGCCAGACTTTCTCTAGACTTGTGACTCTCTGTACAGTCAACCACCTACTACTGAGGTTATCTTGCATGTAAACATTCTAGACATAGCTCAAAATTGGAATGCCTTGTTTCTAATATTTTAAAGTCTGGTTCTCCTATATCTCTCAAGGGAGGCCATCATAACTGATTCCCCAAAGCCAGAAATTCAGATTTCTGAATTTCTGTTCAGATACTTCTGCCTTCATAACCCCATCTAAAATCTTCTTTTTGAATTATTTATTATATGTGAGTATACTGTAGCTGTCTTCAGACACACCAGAAAAGGGCATCGGAGCCTATTACAGATGGTTGTGAGCCACCATGTGGTTGCTGGGAATTGAACTCAGGACCTCTGGAAGAGCAGCCAGTGCTCTTAATTGCTGAGCCATCTCTCCAGCTCCCCATATGAAATCTTTACTAGGTTTTGTCAGTTTTACTCAGTATTTATGGACTGCTTCCCTATCGCAGCTCCTATGTTATCTCTTGCCTCAATTTCATTGGTCTAATACTTTCCTGATTGGTCTTGCTTATCCAGTGTATTTCCATACTAGCCCAAAGGATTTGCTCAAAAGCTAACCAGACTACATTCTGCTTCTTAGAACTGCTGAATGGTTCCACATTTGTACATTCTACAACCCCCCAGGAGCTGACCTCCATTTGCCCCCTGCTCCTTTATTTTTCCCTAGCTCCCTTAAACTACTAGCCTAGGAGATGTTCTAGGTTTAATGGGGCCTTATAAAAGTCACAGGACAACCCAAGAAAAAAAAACTATATTATAACTAAACGTTAGTTACATGACTGCACATGAGAACCCCAAAGATTAAAGTTCATTGGTTTCCCAAGAAGTCTGCTTCTCTACCTAAACACACCAAGCTTCAGTTCCCTAGACCACACCTGAGTTCTCTGTATCACTTTGCCTTTGAAGAAGCAGGAAGCTTCCTGGATTGCCTTTCTCTCTCACCATCTGTCTGTCTGTCCAGCCTTTCAGGAGTTAGCATAGTCTCTCCTGTGAAAGGCTCTCCGCCTTCTTCTCTGCATGGAATTGACTGTTCTTGCCCTTGTGGTCTCAATGCAATCTGCCCTTCATCTCTTTCTTTGTACTCAGTCCTTCACAGAACATACTTGTCTCTATGGAAATTATTTGCTTAAGAAAAGCCTTTCCCATGAATGTGTTGAGAGCAGAGATTAAGCCAATCTTTTGTAGGTCGTTAGAGTATAGGAGGGCCTGGTACAAGGCTGAACGGAATCAAGGACCCACTCACATGTCTTAGAAAGACACCCTTCTTTTGGCAAAGTATATGGAGTGGCACAGTTGTAGATAGGGATCCCATAATGATGCCTTACTTATAAGCTGCCTGCCCATAATCACTCTCATTGGCCCCAGCATCTGTGCTCTCTCCAAGATTCCCATGGTAATCTCCTTTTCATGGTTCCTCCACCCACTTTCCCATTCCACTTCTTTTGTTACCTGTCCTCCTTGTTGATCTGGTCCCCAAAGCCTACAGTGCTCACAATTGTGAGCTTCAACCCCACGTTGCTCTCCTGGAGATCGTAGGTATTGGACCGGAGCTGAACACCTGGCTGTGTGTGGGTCGTTGGCTCCCCTTCAAACTTGGTGTTGAATAGGGTATCCATGAGGGTGGACTTGCCCAAACCTGTCTCCCCTGAAAAGCAAAAGATATCAAGCAATGACTATGTGGCCATTGTGCATCATATTTCACAACTGTACAGAAGTACATAGAATATATAGTATCAGTTGTGTGAAAAAGAAAGGCAGAGACATGCCAGCAGCAGATCGCTCACAATACTGGAGAACTGGGCTAATTTCCATTTTTGTCTTCACAATTTTTTCCGTTATTTGAATCTTCACCTTGAGCATATATGCTATTAGAGGCAGAGAAAGAAATGCTATCCATACAGATAGAGGGGTATAATTATCCCTAGAAGTAGACTGTAGAGAAGTACAATATACTCTTATTAATACTTATCTCTGACTGGTGGCCTTTTATATATAGTTTTCATTTTTTTCTTTAGCTTTTCTGAATTTTCTAAGTAGAACATGTAAATAAACACTAATTGTCAAACAAATACCCTCTCCTCTCATCCCTGGCCTCAGCTTCTGCCCAAACAGTGCTCAATCCACAGATGTCACATTTTTGTCTCCCAGTGGAGAGACTGTACCTACTTTTGGCTTCTCCCAGCCTAGATGACCTTTCAGGAAAACTATTTTTAAAAAAAAAAATTTTTTTTTTTTTTGTCTACCGAGGAATGAACTTGAGCTGCAAATTACTCTTCTTAAATTTCAAACAAACCAGGCATTTGTTTGCTTAACTAACATGTTGGCTGTGTGACACTAATAAATCCAACCACTAGAATTTTACACTTGGCCGATAAATGAGGGAAAGGGTTATGGTGGACTGGTAAATGTTTGGGGAGGTTATTCCTGGAACATTAGAGGATACTGAACCACTGCCTCGAACCAAGCAGTCTTTGGAGAATGAGACATCACAATCACGGAATGGAGAGATGCTGGTGACATGGACTTAGGCAGGAGTTTGATAAGAAACCACAGCTGGACTAGGCACTAAAACCACTTTTAATCTCTGTGGATTTAGATTGTATTTGGCTCCCCATCCCACCCCAAGGGAATAAGAAATATTAAGAACCAAAAATCAGTAGCTAAGCTGGAGATGTAGCTCAGCCAGTAGAGTGTTTGCTTACTATAGTTAAAGCCCTGTCTGAGCTCCAGCATTGAAGAAACTGAGCAAGGTAGTACACACATCTGTAATCAGGAGATGGAGGCAAATAAGAAGGATAAGATCAACCTCTGTTAAATCTCCAGTTTGAAAGCAGCCTGGTCTTTAAGTCAATAGTTAATGACAGGCTAAGCATGGTGATGCACAACCTTAATCCTAGTACTTGGGATGCAGAGGAGAGTGGATATCTGTGAGTTTTAGGCCAGCCTGACCTACATAGTGAGTTCCAGGACAGTTAGGGCTATGTAGAGAGGCCTTGTCACAAACAAACAGAGTAAATGACCCTGGACTCTTCTTTGAGCACCTTCGACCACAGTACTCCTTTACTAGCATCGTCCCTCTTCTTCCTACCCCTCCCCAACCAAGGAGAGGCATGTGACTTTGCTTTATCCACATAGCTGGGATTAGGTTTACTCTGGGTAGATCCTGGCCTGCCTAATCTTCTCTTGGGACCAACCATACACATTTGCAAAGCAGTGCATAGAACTGCATGATGGGGAATCGAAAATGCTTCCTCTTTCCCCACTCGTTCAGTGTATATATAAAAGAAGCATAAGCTTCTTTTATCCTAAACACTGACATAAAAAATTTACCTATGACGAGGGTTTCTATGTGCAGAGAAAGAAAAGAACATTCAATTTAGCCTGGTTACCAAGGTCCCCAGCCCTATTCCATAGCCTGGTATGACTAATGGGGTGCATTGCCAGGGTATACAGAAAGAGTTCCTCACACAGATTGTGTTTCCAGCCAGGATCTGCTATATTCATTAGAGACAAATATTGTCTAAGAAGAGATCTTTTTTTTCTTTTGCTCCTCCCCTAAAGAAACTATTCAGGTCTCAAGAAAAATCTGGTGCAATGGGGTCTTTGCCTTGGGAAGTGACAGATTTAGGCATGCAGCATAACACACCATCCATTATCCCATCAAAAAACATGGAGCAGCTCACTTGTGACCAGGGCCACAATCTCTGAGGTGAGAATGCAAGAGTGAGTACCAGACTCTAACTCGATTTCTCTCTGGACACCAGTGTTCCAGGTACATTTTAACCTTTTTTTCCCCTTTTTGGTAGTCTAATGGATTTTCCTCAACCTCATCTCTCTTTGTCCCTTGAGGTCATTACTGAATATCCCTGCTGCTTCTAGACAGTGGTGGGCTCCAATATCTGCAGCTCTCCAATATGGGCTCCCTGCCTCCACATCTTAAGAATTCTCAGAGACTCCTCTGTAATACTTCAGAGACCCTGAAGAAAGCCTCACATAGAAGGTCTCAGGAGCAGCTCTACTGAGCCAGAGACCCACCCTGTTTGCACAGCTGGAGAAATGGGGGCTGGGTGAGGTACAGCAAGCAGCAGGGAGGAGCAGCAAGGAAACTGACCACCCAGACACCTGCCAACACACAAGGGTTGCGGCAACTGGCTGTTAAATAACGAAGGTCTGGAAGAGACAAACTTGCTGTGTTTAGGGAATAACAATAAATGCAGCATTAGAAGAAGGCAGAAAATAAAGCCAGCTCCTTCCATGGCTTTTGAGTGCTTCTGCTCTCAGTTGTCATCATGGGGGACCTGGAGCTGGAAGGAAGCCCTCTCTCAATGGCTGGCACAGGCCCAGCCCGAGACTAGAATGATAGGTTCTCCTATAGCTGTCTTGGGTCCAACAGTAAATATGTACGGGGATATGACACATGGCCTAATAGGATCAGGTCAGCAGATTCCACCATGCCTCAGCAAGAAGGTAGGAACTTGGCAACTGGCTTCTAGCAGGAAACTCAATGAGTCCCAAGGGCTCAATTTCCCTCCTTTTCTCCCCAGCCCTCCTAGAGCGTGTCACAATGGACAGCAGGGTTTCTTAACCCCTGAAACTCATGTTCTAACTCTCACTTTGCTTATTGTTGACACTGTGCTAGAAACAATAACTTTACAAAATAACATAGGGGCTGGAGAGATGGCTCAGTGGTTAAGAGCACTAACTGCTCTTGCAGAAGACCTGGTTTAGTGTCCAGCATCCACATGCCAGCTAATAGCTGGCTGTTACTCCAGTTCCAGAGAACCCAAAACTGTTCACCAGGTATGCATGTACTATTCATACGTACATGCAGGTAAACATGCGTTCACATAAAATAAATAAATCTCTTTTGAAAATAATTTAAATTTAAAACATATATGAATCAAACTATAGCCCCAGGTGACCTTCCCATCTTGCCTTAGAAGCAACTACAACTTTTTATGGTTTAGCCGTTCTCCTCAGTGGCTGTCAATATCTGCAATCTCTGGTGCTTTGGACAATTAAGTCCTTGCAAGACGAGAAAGATAAATTCATCTCTGGGTTCAGAACTAGTCTGGTCTACAGAGCGAGTTCCAGGACAGCCAGGGCCACACAGAGAAACCCTATCTTGAAAACAAAAACAAACAACAAAGAAAAAGAAAAAATACAAGTCCTAGATATACTACCATTACATTGCCATGTGACAAAACCTGAGCCCTGTCCCCAGTCTGAGTCCTAGTCCTTTTTTCCTACAAAATGGGAAAGTTGAAGCAGTAGCAGCAGGGTGTTTGTTTGTTGTTAGTTGTTTGTTTTGTTTTGTTTTCTGCTTGGTTTGGTTTGATTTTGAGACAAGAACTTGAAGTCTCAAGTTTCCTGCCTCAGCCTCCCAAGTGGTAGGACTTCAAGGCATATACCAATAGTATTTTCCTATAGCAGATTTATGTGCCCTGTGCCAGGCATTGCTGTAAACAAATGCATGTTTTCTTTTCTTTCATGTAGTGTTGGGGATGGAACCCAGGGACCCACAGATATGAAGCAAGCTCTCAACTACTGAGCCACACCTTCAGCTTCCATGGATTTTATTTGCTCCTCACAGGAAGCTTATAAGGTAAATAGGCACTATGATTTTTTTTAGTGCTGGTAATGGAGCCCAAGGACTCAAGTGAATCAGGTTATGCAAGAGCTCTACCTCTGGTTGGGCAAGGTGGTACCCAGAGGTAGAGGCAGGCAGGTGCCTGTAAGCTTCAAGTTTACAAAGTGAGACCCTGACTCAAAAACAACAACAACAACAAAAAAGAGCCCTGCCCCTGAACTACAATCCAGCTAGCCACTAGATAATACAATTTGCCTTTAATTTATAGTTAGGTTAACCAAGTCACCCATTAGCTTCATGGATTTACAAGTTCCTCCTCTTCTATGTTACCTGATTTTCCTCCTCTGTACACTGTATGGGAGATGACAGTCCAAGGTCACAAACTAATAGGTAGCATAGCCAGTATTTTCACCAAGGCAGGCTACCTCTGTAGCTCATGCTTTGAACTAATACACATTAGTGAGGCTCACAAGCATGGCATACTCATTTATTTAGTCACTCAATGAGTATTTACAAAGCTTCTGATAATCAGATGTAGGTGTTCTATAGGGGCTAAAAATACAGCAAAGATCAAGCTAGCCACAGTCCCTGGTCACTTGAAGAGAAGTCTCAATCAACTGTAAATGATGGAATAAGCCAAGAGAAAATTCTGCTGAGTTGAACAGGGAGGTCGGAAGGAAATTCTCTGAAGGGAAACTCTCCAGGAACTAGAGTTGGCCATGAGAGTCTATGAAGAGAGACAAGGTCATGCCTTTGCTGTGCGACCTTGTCCTTTCTCTTTCCTGTTCTTGCAGGGGTGAGGCAGACTGTGGTGTGTTTCAGCCAGTACAGGCAGCTTCCTGCACCTCTTCCCAAGCCTATGTGATGGAAGTAATGACACCATGGAAATCAGTGGATGCTAACAAACCTGTTTTCTCCCATGATGCCTTGCTAGCCAGTGACCAACCACTGTAGCTGCCTTATGCTAACAACTGCATTTCCCAGAGACACGGGGATGGAAAGGTTAGCCCCTGACCTTCATAGAATACTAGTTGCCCTTTGCACACCTCTTGCAATAAAGCTTCAATCCTGCTTGTCCTGTGTGTGGTTTCCAAATTCAACAGAGCCCAGTTGAGCCTGGAATCCTGAGCAGCTTCAAAGTAAATATTATCATTATGAGCCTTTGTGCTCCCCGTGGCCATTAGCGCTGCCAGCACATTTGGATGGGCAAGTCTCTTTGGGGCTCTTTCCCAGCATTACAAAGCCCTGGGCCCCAGAACATTGGTATTGCTAGCTCAGGTTGTTCTTCTGAGGCCTCCTTCATGGATGTTTACAGTTATGGGATCTTCAAGTTTCCAAAGCTAAGGAATTGGGATATGATTTTTTGATGGGGTAGAGAAAGGGGGAAATCTCACCTTACTAGGTAATTACTGTCAATGCTGGAGATTATATCACACTGAAGTCATAATATGCTTATGTCTATGTGCTTAGCTGAAAATCATAATAATCATGGAGAACAATTATTGGTATAGTCAATTTATTGCACTATAAATTAGGCTCTGGATTCATAAACATTCTCTTTCCTTCCTCTCAATCTCAACAAACACAAATGCACACAGGCATACATAAATGCACAATACTTATTCTACTAGGTATGGGCATAACAGCAGCAGACCAACATTAAATAAACAATAATGTGGAAAAAACTATCCAAGCTCACTGTTAATAATAATCAAGGTCAGCACTATCATAATTTGAGTACTAAAAGAACTTTGGGTGAACAATTTCTGTGACTAAACAGAACCATTTTATAAGTTATCAAGGAGGTATACTTAATAGTCACATCCAGATACAAGACATAAGAATACAATCACTAAAATTCCTGAAGGCACAAAGATCACCTTCAGCAACTTCACTGTGGACTCTCTGCCAAGTCAGTGACAGTTCCTAGCATTATGGCAGGCTGAGATGGCAGTCTGAGAGTCATTTGTGACCTTGATGCAAGCTGATGGCTCTCTGAGCAATGGCAAGGTCATGAATACAGTAAGAGAGTGGAACGCATGTGCTATAAGCGTTTTTGTATCCAGTACAGGGATTGGTTTATCTAATGGTCCTATCTGGGGACAGTATAGAAGGAGAACCATTTCCTGAAACTTGGCAAGTAGAAAGAGAAAGAAAAGATATATGGGTTCTTGGGGATGGGAGTCTGCCTCAGGCCCTTCAGCAACTTCATGTCATCAGGTGCATGCTGAAGGGCTTTAGATAGGCAATACCCTGGTGGGAACATGAGTTGACTGTTTACCCCACTCACCTTGTCTTGATCTTGGCTGCCTCATCTTGGGGGCCCCAGGGAATCTTTTTTTTTTTCCGAGATAGGGTTTCTCTGTATAGCCCTGGCTGTCCTGGAACTCACTCTGTAGACCAGGCTGGCCTCAAACTCAGAAATCCGCCTGCCTCTGCCTCTTAAGTGCTGGGATTAAAGGTGTGCGCCACCACTGCCCAGCAGCCCTGGGGAATCTTAAAACTCATATTACAAATTTCCCTATACTTTGATATCAGGTCCCATTCTGACTCACAGAGCTTTAGCAGGTCAGACTTTTGCTGGAGGTTGAAAGGTTGCTCACGGGGGCCTGTCAATTTGCTTTCATCTCAACTTCAGCACAGGTCATACGGCACTCTGGGAGGGATGCCAAAAGGAAGCTGGTATGTGTGTGCACTGGGATATTTCAGTCATCAAATATTGTGTGAAATAAGTTGGCCATTAGCCAAAGATTGATCTTGTTAGTTAAACAGAAAACTCAGTAGTGCCAATATTAGACGTGATGACATTTGTTCTTGAGGCTGATTGCCCTGCCTTCCATTTATTTTGTATGCCCGTCCCAATTAGCACCCAAATGTGACTGTGAGTTCGACTGTCAGCATTCAAAGACTTGGCAACCTCTATGCAGACTCTAAGGCCTCTGATGTGTAATTCCATGAAACACATATTTTTATCTCATAAGCTCTGAAGCTGATACATGGCAATGAGTCATTTTTGCTAGTGAGTGAGCCTCGCTGACTGCCTGTCATCCATATTTAGAAGTGACCTTATTGTTCTGTTTGTCCTTACAAGTACAGTGAATTCTCTACAGAAAATGACCTGGAAAAGAGTACTGGAGATGAAGAAGAAAAATAAAATCAGAAGAAAATGAATGACTTAATTTCAAAGACTAGTATTTAGTTAGTTAGTTGAGACAAGGTCTTATCGCGCCACCCAGATTACACACAAATTCACAGTCCTCCTGTCTCAGCTTTCTAAGTGCTGGAATTACAAACCTATACCACCACATCCAAGAGAAAAGATTTTTTTCACTGTATTAAGCCACTAAAGTACCTAATTCAGTGGTAGTTTGAATCTATGATGTGAATGAGTTCTCCATATGCTCTATACAAAAATAAGAACAGGAAATTAGCAACAGTGTGGAAGTGTTCCAGCCAGTGTGAAAATTGGCTTTATTATGGCATTTATGCAACCATTAAGGTTTGGAAGTGGGTCACTGAAAATACACAGGTATATGTTCTTGCACTGTGGGGTGAAAATTATAAGTTACCACTATGTTTGTAAATTTGAGATTTTTAAGGTTTCAAAGTACATTCTTAAAGAATGACAAGGTACCATTGTCCATGTTTGTTTAATGGTACTCAATGGTTTCTAAAGTGCTTTCATGGTCTCAAGACACATTGTTGGCAGTGGTTGGAGACAAAGAGAAGAACAACAGGTCAGTCAGGCCTGCATCTCCAGTGTATTTTGTCTCTGCCATTTTTCCATGTTGCCTCAGGTAAATCCCTATGTCCTTCTCAAATTGTCTTCTCCATAAGGATAAGACTACTATCTCTGAGCTTCACTTTGCAGACTGGGGGCCAAACCACTTATGCGAGAAACTGCTGAGAGGCATAGTGGTTGCCTCCTGTGGACTTAACTCATTCATTCACTTCAGAAATATTACTGAACTCTCCTTGGGCCATGATTAGCACACCAAGTGGGCTCAAATCACTGTCTCCCCATAGGTACGACGGTGTATGAGCAAAATCTCAGTGCTTGGGAGGCTAAGGTAAGAGGACTGAGAATTAGAGGCTAGCCTGGGTGACTTGTTGAGTTCCATGCCAGTTTAGGCCACATAATGAGACTCTTAAAGCAAAACAAAATAAAGCCTAGGCACAGATACAGGTTGGGGAATAAAAGATCTTTACATGCAGCTCTGTGATGCCTACACTTAAGCTCCAACTGTACCAAGCAAGCTTAGACAAGCTAGAGAGATTCAGCCGGCTACCCACAACTCTCAATTCTGTGCTGGTTCTCATCTTCTGCATGCAAAAAGAAGCTGACAGCAGTAACTGAGCCAGCCAGCCCCCTTTAACAAAATTTTCCACTGAATCTCACAAAGCTCTGTTTTACCCCAAGGTATGGCCCCAGATTCTGGTCTGGGTAGAGGGGGGAAAAAGTAGTTGCAGCTGGACGCTTACAAAAATAAACAAAGGGATAAGAGAAGAGGGGTTGGGGGTGCAAGCTTTTAACTAGATGGGGATGACACATTATTTAACCTAATTACCTGCAAAGCCACATCTAGCCATTAAGGATCTATATCCTGTAATAGAATTTCCTGCCATGGAAATACTCACCCACGCACAGGATGTTGAAGCAGAAGCCCTGGCTGACTGACTTATTCACCAGCTGGTCAGGCAAGCTGTCAAACCCCACATGTCCAGCCAGGGGGACAGTTCGACAATCTTCGCCCTAATTTGGAGAGGGAGGGAGGGAGGGAGGAGAGAAAATGAAAACGTGCTTAACAGCCATTTGGATCTCAATACTATATCCACGCGGACTCTAACCTGTGCCAGGAAGTAACAATCACAAAGGCCCGATGTGTCATTTCTTTCCTCAGCCACCCTTCCCCAACCTGAACACATACACCTAAAAGCAAAATGGCCCATCAGCCTGGAAATCATGGATGCTTGGGTACAGCATTCAATAGGTTCAGTAATAAATAGTACTGTGGTTCTGGACAGAATACACTATGTGGGCAATTGATCCTGCTTATCCAAACTTGGATGAGATCTCAATTCAATCAGTTAGAGGCTGGCGAGCCTCTCTCTAAGACTCAGTTTCTTTCCACATCTGTAAGAGGAGACAACAGGATATATTTCAGAGGTGATAAGAGGACTGCAATCTGCTTATTAATACTTATAATAATGCTATATATAAAATAATGAATGTGTGAACACATTCAATAAATATTCCAAAGACCGTAGAAAGCAGTGAACCTTCTCTCTAGAACACTTTGAAGAGCTACAAAGGTGGCACAGCAGAGAGGTTAAGCTTTCAGGTTTGGGCAGGCAAGATGGCTCGGAGGGTAAAGGTGTCTGCTGCCAAGTCTGATGATCTTAGTTCAAAACCTGGGACTCACATGGTAGAAGGAGAGAAGAATTCCTGAAAGTTGTCTTCTGATCGCCACAGGTATGAGGCACCAGCTCCCCCCACCCCCACTAAACAAACAAACAAACAAATAAGTGTAAAAATGATTTTAAAGTACAGACTTTCGAATCAGGCAGGTCTGAGTCAGAGGCCAATTTCTGCAGTTTAAGCTTTAAGAAGTTAAGTTCTCAGTCTCCCATTACAAAACCACGAGTAAGTAGTTAACGCACAGTCTCTACAGGACAGTACTCCTCACACACATAGCATATTCCCTGGCATGTGGAAACCCGTCAAACAGTAGCTGCCCTTATCACTGCCCTGTGAGGTTATCTCTGGATCCTAAACACTGGCCCACCATGCAATAAAACACTTGTAGCTCCCTCTAGCTTGGAAGGAGCTGTCTCCAGCCTTCCTCTGGTTCCCTTGACTCCATAGGGGTCAGCCAAGCCACTCCCAGCCCTGGAAAGCAGAGGGCCAAAGCTTCTTATAGTTAATGGTTTTATAAAATGAGGAGAGTCTCAAACTCAGGCAGACTTCCAAGGAACCAAGGGAAAGGATGAAAAGGGCCTACATGTACTCATAAACTATGCTCACTGCCAATGGTCACAGCTGAGGGTGGGGTGTCAGGAGAAGGGTGGGGAATGGAAGCTGGAGGCAGACAAACCTCACAAGAATGATGGGCTATGGAAATAGACAGAGATTCTGTGGGGTGAGGCTGCACGAAACTTTCCATAACCACCAAGTTGCCAAAAGCAACCCAAAAGGCCATGGTTTGTGCCAGGAGGGATCAAACCAGCATCCCAGGCTGTGCCAGCAGGCAGCTCCTATGCAGACTGGACCTGCTGTTAGACTAGGTGCCACACCAAAAGGGAGTGATGGTAGGGTAGCCACTCAACCTCTTCACCTAGTATGTGTGGAGGTGGGGGTGTTCCTGCTCCCATCAGTGCCATTGGATCCTCCAAGAGCTTATGCTGGTGACTAACATCTGGTACATTCATTCCCCTCTGACATCTCTCCGTACAAACTCCCAACAGAGCGTACTTGACAGGCTGCCATATGCTATCACGGAGTTAGGTTGATGATGCCTTCCTTGCTCACCCAAAGACAAGAGATCCACATCACCTTGTCCTACATTCATTTCACCCCCTTCCACTTCCCTTCCCCTATTTCCCATCTTTTCTTTCTTGCTTAAAACAAACAGTAAGCTGGAAGTTTACCACTGTTGGTTTTCAGCCTTCGGCAAAGCACCGAAGAGACTTCAGAGCCAATATGCTCTCTCCAGGGAGCCTCCTATGTAGCAGGCCTCAAAATTGGGACAGACTCAGAGTTGAGGTTTCCTGAGCCATATTTTATCATTTCTTCCTGCCTCCAAATTCAGTGCTATAAAACTTCAAGTGCTCCAAAGTCCAAGGAATTCTCAAACTAAAGATAGCAGGCAATAGGAAGAGCTCCTTACCTTAAAAACTCACGCCACTGAGAAAGACTTATCAAATATAGGGCCTAGGATGTAGTTCTGTTGAGAGAATGCTTGCCTAACATGCACAAAGCCCTAGGTTCAGTCCCCAGCACCACATAACTGGGGCATGGCAGTGCACAGCTGTAATCCTCACACTACTCCAACGCTCTACAGCTAAGCTGTGCTCCCAACCCTGGTTCCCCATTTTGAGTCTCAAGTCAGGTTAGTTGACTTTTACCAGCATTTTTCTCAAAGTATGTACATATCTGTCACCTTGTCACTTCAACACCACTGGAGACGTATCCTGTTCCTACTTTCTTGTTCTTTCATCCAGTCAAGTACTGTGTAGGTAGGATGAACTTCTCAACTCCTGCATGTGAGATTGGAGAGGTGGCTCCATGGTTAAGGGGACTTAGCTGTTCTTACAGGCGTTTAGTTCCCAACACTTAACATGCTGGCTCACAACTATTCCTAATTCCAGTTCTAGGGAATTGTTGCCTCTTCTGGCCTCTGAGGGTACCAGGCATGCACACTGTATCTATACATACAGGCAGGCAAAACACTCACCATATAAAACAAATATAAAAATAAATATTTCAAAATATTACATGGTTCATGGTAGTCCCTGCTCAAAACACCCCAAATCCCCCAAGCTCATTGCTGTGGAATAAAGGCTATACTCTTCCTTCTGCTCCTCGAGGCTGTTTATGCTGCTGTGGGAGATAGCAATGAGTGCATGATAGGTGTTTGGCAAATTTCCATTTTGAGGAAGAGTCTTACGTAGTCCACGCTTGTCTCAAACTTAAGATACTGCAAAGAATGCCCTTACACTGTTTGTCTTTCTGCCACTACTTCGCAGTGCCCAGATGAGGCCTCTGCTATGATACCCGGTGGAAATTATTAGAAAACAGAAATTATAAGAAAGAAAATTAAAATTACCTATCATATTTTCATTCTCCCAAGATAACATCTTTGTATTTCCTGCCAGTCAGTACACCTTTATTTAACAAAATAGGGATACTATAATGTATTCTTTCCACACTCTGACTTAAAACCCTGACACTTAGTCTAGATGTTTTCCTGAGTAGTTAAGTATACTTCTAAATCGTTTCTTTAGAACGGTTTCTTTTTAAAGGTCTATTTTATTTTCGAAGATGTACACTTGTATGCACATGAGTGCAGGTGCCTGCAAAGACAAGAGAAGGCACTGCACCCTTGGAACTGGAGCTACAGCAGTTGTAAGCCACCTGTGGGTGTTGAGAATCAACTGCAGCTCCTCAGCAAGAGTGGTATAAGCTCTTAGCCACTGAGGCAGCTCTCTAGGCCCCAAATCATTACGTTTACTGGCCATATAACATATCCATGCAGGAATCTGCCACCTTTTCCTAGTTGCCTAATATTTAATATCTCCAAGTTTTCTACATAAGCATACAGTCTTCTTGCAGAGTTGCAAATATCTCTATTTCCTAAAATTGAGAACTACTGGACCAAAAGGTCCACATATTCTTTTACATAAATATACCTATGTATTTATATATGTATGTACATATGTTTGTCTGTCTGTCTGTATGTATGTATGGCAGCATGCATGCTACAGTGCATATGTAGACATCATAAAACAATCTGCAAGAGTGTATTTTCTTCTTCTATGTGAGCCTTGGGGGCCAAACTCAAGTTGTCAGGCCTGACAACAAAAGCAGGTGCCTTTGCCCATTGAGCCATCTTGCCAGCTCAAAAGGTTCACAGATTTTATACACTGATACATCACTTAACAGAGGCCCATACTAATGTGTGTTTCCATCACTATTATGTGTGTGTCTGTGTATCCATAAAGTTTCATGGGCTTTTATCTGCTGTGCATTGACTCATTGGAAAACAGTATCACATTCTTTAATTTGAATTTTATTGGTGACAGTGAACATTAAAAAATGTCAACTGTGTATGGGTACTGTGTATGTAAATTATCTAGTCATGGATTTTCTCTTTGATTTGTAAGAGCTTTACATGCATCAGGGAAAATAAGAATTGATTTCAAGGTGAGATAGCTAAGAGAAGAAAGTCAATAAATAGTTAACAATGTGAGATTTTCTGTGCAGAGAGCATTTAAGGCTGAGATACAAATTTGGGGAGTGAGAGATCTAAAATTGGATGTGCTCTCTGGGAAGTAGTAAGGGTGAGGGAGCTAAAGAATGAATATAGGAAACACCCATGAATAATGGGGGGATGGAAGGGGTTTTGCCATGAGGGAGAAATAATCAGAAAAGTAAAAGATGACCCAACAGTTTCCTGACATTTGAAGCAAAAAAAACAAAAAAAAAAAATTACAGAGAAGTAACTATAGATTTGCATTTAGTGGCATCGCCCATGACTTGGAATTTCTATTTCTTTTATGTCTTTTACTAAGTGTCCAGTCTACCTAAATTAACTAGAGAACTTGAGGACTTGGGACATAGGGCCTGGTTGACGTGGGGTTTTTTGTTTGTTTGCTTGCTTGCTTGCTTTTTACTGTGTTGAAGGGCCAAAATTTTGTCTCACTCTCTGTGGTTAAGAAGGCATCCAAACATATTTGTACAGTTCTTGATTTAGAAAAGTCTAGAGAGCACCTGTCTTGGTCTAATGAATCGTTCATCAAGATCATCATTGTTCAGAATGAAATTAATGCATGCAAATTATGGACAGAATACTGAGCTAAATGTACACTGGCCCCAGGATAACCCTGGGAAGTGTCTTTCCTTCTCTTCGACAGCACCTCTGATGCCTTATCTCCTTAGTCCTTCTTAAGGTGGTATAATTAATTGAGATCCCAATTATTCTGATTGCCGTTAATTGAATGTTCACTTGACTACAAGGTGCAGAAGAAGAGATG